TTTCAAATGATAATAAAGAATGTTAAATATATATATATATATTTACACATAACGTTTATCATTGTGATAATCATAGTTTTTAAAATACATTTCTATTACCCACATCATTTTTGATACCAAAATGTTTATTCTTTTGTTAATCCTTACGTTACAATACCACAATTTCTGAGATAATTATTTAAGAAACCAATTTTGATAATTATCGGTTTCATTTATTTATTCAATAAAACTAAAAATAAAAATAAAGATTTAAAAGTTTCATATAATAAAAATGATTTTTGATAATTGTTCATTGGAAATACACAAAAAATATGGATGTTATTTGTAATATAATTTGTTTTCACTCATTTAAAAAATATTTCGTTTTTTTATTTTAAAATAATTTATTGATATTTTTTCAATATCAATAAATTGTTCAAAAATAATCATTTTAAATTGAATAAATTTTAATAAATTGTTTATTCTTCGGTTGTTACACAAATCAATTTTAAACATTAATATCAAAATTTGTCAGGTCGAATTGTTTAATCATTAAAATAGACATAGTGTTTAATAATAATATTTATTGTGTTTGTTTTAGATATTTTTATTTTATAAAGTAGAATTTCAAATAACATTGAAATTGTTTTTTATATTTTACAAAATAAGACTAACTTGATATTGATTAAGTTGTTAATTTTATAACAAATTTGAAAACAACAAAACTCAAATTCAATAAATTAACAACTTAATTAAAATGTATAAACAAAAGAGACAGTATCAAAATCCATACAAAATGTGCGTTTTTTGATTTTGTAACTTGTATATAATAAATTGATAAGTAAACAACATAACGTTTGAAATTACATACTGAACAACAGGAAATAAATTAAAAAGTTAACTTCGAAGTAATCACAAATATTGGTTTATGATATGTAGAGACAGATATTTATCATCATATTAATTGGGTGTGAGTTATAATAGTAAGTGTCTTTATTTAATGTTTGTAACTTTTTTGTTTTGTCTTTGGAATATAGATTAAAATTTTCTCAATTAATTACAATTTGTGTAACAAATATTTTTTGAGATATTTGAACATAATAAGTTACATTGTGTTAATATGTTTAATGTACTAATCGGTATATTATTTTTTAAATAATACAATGAAAAATGTGACATTTACAAATAATATTTATTTTTTAATTTGATTATTTATCGAACCTTAAATAATAATGATATTTTAACTTATTACATTTAACAATAATTAAAATATGTAGTTTTATGTTATTTTATTTTAATTGTTTTTATATTCATTTAAATGATGTTAATCAATTTGGTGTTAATTATTGCTTTCAGTTGTTTTTAATTTAAAACTGTGTATAAATATTGATATTATGTTTATCAATTTTGTCTTTTCATATACAACAACAACGATTTTATAAAGAACATAAGTTATATTTATGTTATATCATCACCACTAGACACCAAAACAGTTTTAAACAATAGAATATTTTTTGTTGTATCAAAAATCAATTACATCAAATATGACTAAACAAAAGTCAGTTTAAGAGTAAACATTTTGTTTGAATTTACACTTTGAAAACACAAAATACAAATAAATATCTACATGAACTTTGATACTATAGTCATTCTAACAAAGTTATTTGCTTTAAAATTAGCCAGTATCTTTTGGACTAAACTGAGTGGATAATTTCTGTAAATGATTTTAAAAACCCATTGAATTCTTTTAGTTTTTTACATTTTTTAGTTTTTACCCAATTTTCATTATTTTAAACATAAATACGACTATTTAATTAAAATAAGATATTTTTTTGAAAACATAACGTTTTATACTGACTATAGTCAAAAAATGAAATCATAACCGATGTAATAGCAAAATTTTAGAACGATATTAAAACAAAATAATTTTAATGTGTGAATAATCAACAGTATATTTAAAATCAATTTCAAAATGAATGTAATAATAAACACTTTATCAACTCAAATATTTGTATTGATACTTGATTTTTAAAATATTATTAATAAAATAGATGTTATTGTCAATAAGTGTTTGATTTTAACCATTGTTTAATATATCTACGTTTAGCATTTGTTTTTGTTTGTAATTTTACATTTTGTTTAAAAATAATAATTTTTAAAACAACTTATTTTAAATATTTAACATGATGCACAATGATTTGTGCCTCCAGTATATTAAAAAAATATAATGTAGATACATAGATTAATTTACATCATTAATTAGTAAATTGATGTACATAAATGCGATATTAAATATGGGTAATGTTTTAACAATAATTTCAATAATAATTAATATATAATTAATAATTTTTATTTATTCAATTAATTAATTATTATAATGAATACACCAATAATTTATATCAAAAAGAAAACAATAATATTATTAAATAATTCGAAAATGATCATTTTTAGTATTTATTACTTTTGGAATAACAATATTTACAATAAAACATTTATTGTTTAATTTAATAACACATAAACATATTATTGTGAATCAAATTGTTTATTATTGTGTATTATTAATATATTATTTAAATGTAATTGTTAATTTTTAGTAAACTTAGAAGTCATTTACAAACTTTAAAAAACACCCATTCTATTTAAAATGATTGTTCGAACATGAAAGTTATTAAGTAATTTTCAAATTGTTGTTTGGTTGATTGTTAACTTTTGTTTTTATTTCGAATGTATTTTTACACCAAAACATCAAGTCGTTTTCAAATAATATTTTGAGTTTATTTTTTGTTTTTAAAACAAATCAAAAAAAACAAACCACAAAATGTTACAAATAAAATGTTG